GGGACCCCTGGACCCGCTGGGATTGGACCTAGCCTAGCCTACCTTAAATGTACTCAGAACACATACATTAGCCTGCAATTGTCTTGTTTCATTTTAGGAGTAATTGCCTTCCTCTTCACACCAGAAGCAGGAGACACAGGTGGGTATTTTGTAGACATGATGGGATGCAAAAACCAAAACATAATATCCAAAAAATGCTGGCAACACTACATAGTAGAGTATCGGTTATTTACCCTCATGATCACGTAGCTGACTGGCCACTGACCAGCATCACAAGAGAGTAAGTATGTACCACTTATCATTAGCCCGGGGAAAACCAGAATTCAAAATTCAGAGTAGGGTTTCTGCTGCATGCGAATCATTTGCACACCATCATAAAGTCGGAAAATCATAGGGATGTTGTATGTATTTTACAAAATTAGGATCATACTGAAAAAGCTGTTTTCTATTTACTCCCCCCCCCCTTAGCATACGTCCTGAACATTTTCCCATCATTAAATTGCCTTCTACAGCCCAACTTCATGGTTGTTAGTATCTGTCTATAGCTGTTAATCATAGCAAACCTTTATGTATATGTATAGTTTATATCATGCTTTAGAACTTTATAATGTTTACATTGTGCTCATGTGCTCAATGCTGTCCATATAGTAACTCATTTAATCTCCACAACAACCACATGAACTAAGTCTACTATTGTGACCCCAGACAGAGGAGGAAGTTGAGGCACAGAGAAATGAAGGCAAATGGTCACACAGATGCTAAGTGATGGGGCCAGGACTCACGCCCAGGCAGTCTGGCTCCAGAGTCCACCCTGCCTCTGAAGTGCCCTCATTATGGGCAGAAATGGGACAGGGATGATCCTGGAAGGCAGACCAAGAGGTGGCAGGAAGGCCAGCTGACTCTGAGCCCAGCGGGTAACTGTTACTGGGCTGTCCAGGAGTCTGTGGTGGAGAAGGTGGTCATGCCTGCCTGTGTGGCCACGGGCACCTGCGTGCACCTGCAAGGAGCACTGGGAATCCATTTGACCTGGAACTCCCATAGCTGCAGGTACATGAGGGGGGTGGTCCTCTTCTGCCCAATTCCCAGCCCCCTTGGTCTCAAGCACCAAGCTCTAGAAAGGGGACTGACCCAAGCTGCCGTGGCGATACGGGCCAAAGCCTCCACAGCCGGGCTTCCCTGGCCAATGGCAGCCTCGGCAGCAAGAGCGGAACACAGACCTGGGCTCCCAGAAAAGGCACACCCTCCCCTGGGCTTCTTACAGGACAGGAAGAAGGAAAGAGAGTGTAGACATCAGGCCAGGCCTGAGGTGTGTTGTGCAAGTGTCCATGAGGCTCCTACTAGGGGGCTGGTTGCTATCCATGCTTCCAACTGGAGATCAGGACGCCCAGTTATACAGACGGACTGTGCTCTACCTGGCCAGCCCTCAGCGCTGGAGATGCGGCACTCTGCTCCCTGATGCATAAGTAACACCATGATGGATGCACTCACACAGGCAGGCAGAGGGCACTGCTGGTGGGGCCAGTGGCCCACAGCCAGCTGTCCGAGCTCAACTCCTAACTCTCTGTGCCGTGGCTGCATAACCTTGGGCTCCACAGCTTTCGTGAGTTCTTTGTCACGAGCCACGTCCAGGGACAGGAGCTGGGACATCCCCTGTGCCTGGGGCAGGACGTTCATGGTAAGCACGGCACTGCCATTTCAACCATTTCCACGTGGGCATTTCTGATTGATTCCTTTGGATAAACTTCCAAATGCGGAACAGCCAGGTCAAAGGGTATTTTGCAAACCTGCTGCGCTACCTGGATGGCCCTCCTTGTTACCGCTGCCAGGCGGGTCAGAATCACCTGGCTCTGACCCTGGCAGGCAGGACTGGGCGGCCTGAGACTCAGTTTCTAAGGCGGTGCTGATGCCGCTGGTCTAGGACCACATTCTGAGTAGAGAGGGGGGCAAGATGGGGGGGGGTGCCCCAGGCGCTCACCGTTCTTGCCATCCCCTTCTCGCAGGAAGCCTGGTGCTCAGTGGGGCGGGACAGACCAGGGACCCAGAGAGTGTGTTCCTGGCTGGCTGGTATGGAGCCGCGGGGGCTGGAGAAGCCGGTCCTGGCACCCTGCCCGCGTCCGCACAGCTCCTGCCCTCCCCGAGGAGCCTGAATCTCTGCCATTAGCCGCCAGCCCAGATGGGCTGTTTATGCGCCAATTACTGCGAATCTATTCCGCCCAGAGAGGATTGGTGGGGCTGGTTCTCTGCACTGAGGCCAGGCAGCGGGGGTCCAGCCTTGCGGGAGGCGGGCCTTCCCTGCAGCCTGCGGCGCTGGAGCGGCGAGAGCACGGCGGGCCGAGGGAGACCCCGTCTGGACGGGGGCGTCTGTGCAGCGCCAGCAGCTCTCTCCGCCGCCGCCTGGGGAGACGGTTTGCTGGGTTTCTGCTCCACCTGAGAGGCTGCAGATACCTCTGCGTCCTTGGGCGGAAGCGGGGGTGGGGGAGGAAGTGGAGGAGGTGGGGGCGGGGGGGGGGGCGTTTGCACAAACACCCAACAACTTTAATCCAGGAGAAAGCTGGGCGAGAGCACAAAATACTTAGTGTTTTGCTTTTCACATGAACCAGATAAAATTGCTGAGCTGAGACCAGTTTTGCCTTCTGAAAGGGCAATTTCATATGGTTCAATATTCACCCTCAGCGCAAAGCTTCAGGGTCGTTTTTATAAGTAGCCCATTCTCAGGACACGCAATGCCAGCACATTTGTACACCATCACTTATTGCTCCCAACATTTACTGTATGTCATGGAATTTAAGGTGCCACCAAGCGTGAGGTGCTCTGGGCCCCTCAGTCCCACTGCCAGCTGGGCAATTCCTCTGGGGACCTTTAAGACTCAGGGCCCCATTTTCTCTTTCCAGCATTTCAGATCTGCTGTGCTCCATGGCGAGCTTCCAACCGCCACATGCCTGTGAGGACCGATGAGCCAACGCAGGACAAAGAGCCCCACACAGCCTGGCATCTGTCTTGTGTCAGTGGGAGCTGGCCTCCTTCTCTCTCTCCACCAAGACCTCGCTGGCAGGTCCATCCCTGGGAGAGCAGTGAGATGGAGTGGCAAGCACCAAACTGAGAAGCTGGGGTGGGTGTGGGGGAGGGGGCCGAGCTCTGTCTGATCCCGGAAACAGACAAAGATGCCAATAAGTAGATAGCTTACGGACTCCCCTGGCCCTGACCTTCCAGAGTAAGGACGCATCATCGTGCTGTGGCCACGCTGGAGGAACAGGGTGGACCCCTTCCCAAAGGTGATGAGCTGCACAAGCACCAGGAGGGCAGGACCCGTGTGTTATTCCTGTGATGAGGCTTCTGGGAGAGCAGGGCAGCCTCCCAAGTTTTTCTAAAATGACTTGAGGGAGCAGAGAAAAGAGACTGGCCTGAGGTCTTATTGTGGTTGGAGTGGGGTCAAGAAAGGAGTTGAATGGAGCTGTGTGGTTTGAATCCCCTGCAATGAGGTGGGGAGCACCTGGGACTTTCTGTCAGCCTGCCTGGATGTGGGGCAAAGAGAAAGCAGGGTGAGGCCTAAAGGCTCCCAGCACCCAGGATCTGAAATGGAGTCAGTCTGCTTCCCATCCACAGGCCCGCTTCCTGGTTCCAGATGAAAACACTGGCCATCCTGTGTCTGGCATGACTCTCATGACATGCATCACATGCTACATATGTGCACACATGTGCACATACACCATGCAGGGAGCATGATGACCCCTGTGAGTCTCTAGCATATTAGCATGTGGGCTACATTCAGCCCACCTGTTCCCAGAGCAACCTCACAGCAGTCCCACTGTCAAAATACACATCCGGTCCTAAAGTATGAACAGTTCCACATGTACCAGCCACCCATGTACCACTACCCAGGTTGCACAAATGTTCATCGTTTGCACATCTGCTTAGGAGTGCTTTTTAAAAAAAATATATTTTATTGATTTTTTACAGAGAGGAAGGGAGAGAGATAGAGAGTTAGAAACATCGATGAGAGAGAAACACCGATCAGCTGCCTCCTGCACATTCCCCACTGGGGACGTGCCCGCAACCAAGGCACATGCCCCCGACCGGAATCAAACCTGGGACCCCCGAGTCCGCAGGCCGATGCTCTATCCACTGAGCCAAACCGGTCAGGGTTAGGAGTGCTTTTTAATGGGATCAAAGTTAGAGAGTTGAAGCTCCACCCCATCCTTTCCCTCCCACCCGGCCCAGAGGCGACCTCCTACTGAAGTTACTGCACACTAGCCCTATGCCTGTTTCCCACCTGTGCCAACGCCCAGAAACCCCATGCCTTAGACTCTGTGTCACAGAGTTTGCATAAAGATGAGCACACTGTTCAAACCCTTTAGCAGAGAAAAGAGATTGGCCTCATCTTTCTTCACTCAATAAAACATTTTAGGTTTATTCATGTTGATCCATGCAGTTCTCAGTTATTTTTAAACTAGAGGCCCAATGCACAAAGATTCGTGCAAGAATGGGCCTCCCTTCCCCTGGCTGCTGGCACCACCTTCGCTCTGGCCGGAGCCACCTTTCCGCCTTCCCACGCTGCCCAGAGGCTTGGAGTAGCTGGGGCAGTGCAGAAGGCCTGCATCGTCGCCATGGCCGCCCCCAGTCGCTTGGCACCTGCGTATGCAAATTAACCTGTCATCTTTGTTGGGTTAATTTGCACACTCACTCCTGATTGGCTGGTGGGTGTCACAAAGGTATGGTCAATTTGCATCTTCCTCTTTTATTAGTGATGATTGACATAATTATTAGTACATTATTCCACTGTGTAACTAAACCCCACCTTCTTAACTAATTTGTATCCTGATAAGCTTTTGGTTGTTTCTAATTTATGCTTATAATCATTGTTTTTTAGATGAAGAGGGCAAGACCACTCAGGAAGTGACAGGCCAGGAGATGAGCACAGATCAGACTCCAAATCTCCAGTCCCTCTACTTCATCAGCAGAGCATCACACGCCGCTTGGAGCCTCGGCAAAACCACACATACCTGTGTTGAGGTCACCTGTGCTGGTGGTCTTAAAGATGTGTCCACGCATTCTCGAGAGGTGGAGCTTGATTTTCCTGCCCTTGAGCATGGGCTGGACTCAGTCACTCACCTCTAACAACTAGGACATGGCAGGAGTGGTGCCATGTCACTTCTGAGATTAGGTTATAGGAAGCCTGGCTTCTGTCTTAGCCTCTCTCTTTCTCATCACTCACTCTGTGAGAAGCCAGGTTCCATGCTGGGAAACTGCCCTATGGAGAGACATAGCAAGGATGGAGGCCTCCCACCCACAGCCAGTGGGGACCTGAGACCTGCCAACAACCACAACTCAGTTGAAGTCTCGCATGACAGCCCTGACTGCAACCACATGAGCCCGAACCACTCAGGCAGCTCCCAGATTCCTGACCTGCAAAACCATGGATAATGCATGTTTGTTGTTTTAAGCTTCTGAGTTTGGGGATATTTGTCATACAGCAGCAGGTAACTAATACACTCGTTTAGCATCAACCAGAGGGCAGGAGGTAGAATGCAAGTGGACTTGGGCATCCAGCTGGCTTCACCACCAACAGCCTCAAAGTATCTCTTCCTCATAGTGTCCTGGCCTCAGAGGGCATGTGATGAACCAGAAGCCATCAGCATGGACCCCATCACAGCTTGCTGAGCTGTGTCCCCCTCACACGAGCTGAGCGCCTGGGTGGCATGTCTGTGTAAGCACCAATGGTAAACACGCCCCCTTCCAGCCCTCCTGCAACCCTGCCAATTCCCTCCAAACCCCGACTGGCTGCCCTCCAGAGACTGTAATACTATGAAGTAAACTCAGACCCAGCTCCAGTCTGCAGGGAGCTAGTTCCCAGTTGAACTTTCTTCCCGAATATAAATTATTGACACAGAATCTGGCACATGAAGAGTTTTGGAATTTTCCTCCATGTTATGAAGTTTTGGAGTCTGATGGGCCTAGATTTCCAATCCTCCTCCCCTCACCAGTTGCGGGGGTGATGGGGTTGGGCAAGTGAGGCTCGCACACTCAGGGTCCTGCAGTGCAGGCTTGTACCCGAGAGGGAGCGCCCCCTGTCCTTGTGGCCCTGGTTTCAACTTTAGATCAGGCTCATGTGTACCCATGTGTGTACACGTGTGTGTGAGTGTGAATGTGTGTATGTTCATGAATGCTTCTCTCTGTGTGCGAATGCTTGTATATGTGTGTATGTATTTGTGTGTATACATGTATATGTAAGTGCATGTGTGTACACATGTGTATTTGCATATTTGTAAGTGTATATGGGTGTCCATGTGTGCATTGTGTATGTGTGTGCATATGTATATATAAACAAGCATGTATATGTGGGTGGGTATGTGTATGTTGGTAGGTGTTACATGTATAAATGTACATGTGTGTATATGTATGTGTGCATGAATGTGTTGTGCGTGTATATGTGTGTATGTGCATGTTGCACACCTAGCAGTAGCTATTTGAGCACTTATGGGCCCACATCATTCTAAGAACTTTACATTTACTAACCCATTTACTCCTGTGGTGTAGTTCTATCATTATCCCCATTTTGCAGATGAGGGAACTGGGGCTCAGAGAGGCAGAATGGTTTTCCTAAAGTCACATGGCTGGTAGACCTGGGACCAGGGTGCAGAGCCAGACAACACAACTTAAGAGCTCACACTCTGAACCTCTGAGTCATGTATCTGAAGATGTAGACAAACCTATTTCTCCTGAGCCACGCAGCAGTGACGCTCTCGCTCACCATCTTTCCGTTTGTTCCAGCCCCTGTGCAGTTTAGGAGAACAAGGAATCCCGGTGTGTGTCTGTGCATAGGCTCACTTTACAGTCAGGGGGGAGGACTCCAAGAGAGAGCGACTCCCCCAAGCTCACGTGGCCCCGGCAGTCATGCCTCCAGACCTGCCTGGAGCCTGGGGGAGCCAGAGGCGGAGGTGGGACCCTACATGCCCTCAGACTGAAGAGCTGGCTGTTTGCAACCCAGCTGCACAGCTGTGTCCTTCCTCGGGCGGCCACCAGGACCAACTCCGTTGCTCTGAAGCAGCCTCTGCCCACAGCACACAGGGCGGCCACTCCCCAGGCACCTCCCGCCTGACCATTCATCCTCCCAGAGGGCGGGTTTCTTTTTTCTCCTCACTGCAAGCTTTAGTGGGAAGGGAAAGAAAAGAAAAAGGCCGGAGGAGACCAAAAGGCAGGGGGCAGTGCCCCCAGTGCATATATTTAGCCCGAGGAGAGGAGCGAGGCTGCTCCTTCCGAGCCTCAGGCCTCACCCGCCTGCCTGCCTGCGGGGTGGGATCATGGAGCGGAGGAGGACACAGCCTGCGGCGACAGCTGCCCGCGCTCCTCCCCTTTGGCCGACAGACAGGCTGGCCTTGGCACGAAATTATATGTTTTGAAGCTTTTCCTGAACCAGAAGCCCCAGGACAGCGCCGGTTTTGTGGTTGTTGTTTGAATTCTTGAAATCAGCTTGCACTTTTTTCCCCCTTTGATTTTTAAAACTGCGTTTCATTATGTAATATATACTTATTGTAGAAAACGAGAAACTATAAATAAGCATAAAGAAGAGTTTAAAACCTCCCAATTCCACTACTAGGAAATAAACCAACTCGATCCACACATAACAGAGATGACCCTCACCGGCAAGAAGCCAGACCCTCCCAGGCGTGTCATTACTACTGAGTTCAAACAGGCCCAACCACCCTGCGGTATGAGCAGCCGGGTGGTGGCCACCCTGGGAGAGGGGCCATTCTACTGCTTGGACTTTCCCCAGCGTCTGCACTTGTGAAAACACACCAGGCTGCGCATCTATGATCTGTGCCCGTTTCCATGTGTATGTTCAAGAAAAGCTTTACTAAATAAAAACTTGCCCCTTTCTATTCCCAACGGATCACCAATATTAACATTTTGGGGGGTTTTCTTATAGGCCATTTCCCCATACATATATGCATATTTTTTTCATGGAAAGATACAGTTTTGCTCTACCTCCTGTGTTTTCCCGGGGAGGCAGTGAATGCAGAAGTCAGACTGTGGGGGCCGAGGGGGCAAGGTCCCACCCTGAACCTCCAACCCAGCGGCCCCCCTCCCCGGTGGTTGGCGTGAGGGCAGTAGTGAGCACTCACTAACTGTGAACTCTTATTCTCCATTTGCTCCTTTTACTTCCTCTAATGCAAACATCTTTCCAAATCAAGAAATCACTCTTGTGCCTGAATATAAGGGAGCCCCCAATACAGGGAATTGCCCCATCAAATCCTCCACAATGTTTTTGGCCCAACTTGAATATAGAAATGTTTTGGATGTCAATGAAATAGTCACAGGAATATGTATACATGTAATTCATTAGAAATGCATTTTTTAGAATCATAAGTGAGATCAAATAGAACGTGTGGTAGAGACTGGTGAGTTATCCATCAAACCGTTTCCCTCTTCCTCCTGGAGGTGCAGACTGCCTCCCTTTCCCAGCCACCCTGGCAGGCAGTACAGACCCAAGACGGAGACTGTCCAGTGGACTGTGGCAGTGATATGTCACTTCACTTCTGGGCCTGGTCTCAGAAACCTCCCGAGTCCAGCCTTTCCAAACTCATACCCCATCTGCTGGCTGGACGCTGGATCCAGCCCAGGATGCTGAGCCCCACGGGACGGGGGATCCCTAAAGACCCCCAAACACCCAATCAAATTTAGGTGAGAAAGAATGACCCCATGGCGTCACATCACATGATTGTCTTAGTTGTTTGGTGCGCTGGTTGACGCCTCCTAAATCAAGACATTAATTTAAATCAATGCTTTTTCCACTTTATATTTTCTTAGTCAATTTTATTCAGCTCCATCGCATGCATTGTCAACATCACGTCTTTATCTTCAAGAACCACTTCCTGAGTCTTCAAACCCAGTTTTCCAAAGCACAGCCTCTTGCTTTCCCTTGAGTCCTATGAGATTGTCATTCATTCAGGACATTGTTGGCAATGGTTTTACCAAGAAACACATCTCTATTACAGAATATTGGGCAGTTTTCCTCCATTTGACTTGTAGGCTGAGATCCTTGGCCTTCACAACCTGAGCACTTACAATATTCCTTTCCAAGGGGATCTTTAAACAGCTTATTCACGGTGACGTCTACACTTGCCAGGTCCTCCTGGAGGAAGACTGGCTAGATCTAAGCTAATTGTGAGGGTCCTTTTTTATTGCTTCCCTCCAGTTACCCTCATAAGGATCTGTATCTAGGCTTGTTTGAGGTCATTCCAAACAAGGTGTCTTCCCCAAATGAATTTAGTTGTTCAAAATAAAATAATTGAAAGACTGACTTATACAGACACAATGATTAGACGAGTTTATTTTTAAACTGAGCTCTTCTATTTTTGTTATTATTTACTCTTATTTTGGAGATTTTCAGACATACAAAAGTGGGATGGAGTGTGTGATGGACATTGGTACATACAGCACCCAGTCTCCACTGTGATGGACAGATGGCCCCATGTTGTGTTGCCTCTCCCATGTATACCACACGCCCTCTGTTGAAAGGAATCCATTTCCCACCACTGTTTTATTTATTTACTTATTTATTTGCATATAGTCGGTATACAACACTTGTTATTTGTTGACTTTTTTATAACAGCCATTCTGACTGATGTGAGTTGGTATCTCATTGTGGTTTTGATTTGCCCTGTGATTAGTGATGATGAGTGATGTCTTTAAATATGTCTGTTCCCCACCTGTCTACCTCCTTGGGGAAAATGTCTTTTCTGCTTATTTTTTAAATCAGATTGTTTATTTTTTTATTATCGAATTGTATGAGTTTCTTATATATTTTGAATACCAATCCCTAATCAGATACATCATTTGAGAAAATATTCTCCCAGTCAGTATGTTGCCTTTTTGTTTTGTTTATGGTTTCCTTCTCTGTACAGAAGATTTTTAGTTTGATGAAGTTCCATCATTGATGTTTCTATCTCTCTCTCCCTCTTCCTTCCTCTCTGAAATCAATAAAAATATATTTTAAAAAAATGTCTGTGAAGTGTTGAACATAATAAATTCTGATTAATATTATTTTTATC